TAGAATACAGAAATCCACAATGTGAAACCCAAATATTCGGATTTCACAACTGAAAATCCAAAATCCGAAATCCGGATTTTTCGGATTTTCGGAGAATCCGGATTTATTTCACACCACTAATATTAACACGCGTTGACGTGTGCTAACGCAGTGGAGACTCGACGGACGAGGATATTGCTGTACAGTTGTAGTAAACACTAAAAGTAATAAATAACAGTATGTACCGACCGCCGTTGACCGTGAACTGTTTACGGTTCTCCATCGTGCGTTCATATCGACGACGGGGCGGCAAGATATGTGCGTTCGTTAAAAAATTTTAAAAACAAAAACAACTAAAAATGTCTTTTAGTCTTGAAAAACAATTGTTAATACCTAATGAAAAGTGCTGAAGTGAAATATTTAATGTACTTTGTATTACATTTATTCCAAAGAACCCATTCATTTTTAGTACCTCAGATATAATGTGCTCCATATTGATCATACAACAATATCTAATACATAAATATATAATACTATTATAGTTAAAATGCTATTAATTATAATTTAATAATATATATATATATATACATGGGCACCCGCAGGAAACTTATCAGGGGGGGGGGGCATAATGAAATCCAACACCAAAAAGAACATTAAAAATATATTCCTTACAACCTAAAAAATTAGTTAAATAAAAACTGTAGCTATGTGTGCGTGGTGCGTCGATCGTCATAAGTGGTTTACACAATAGGCGATTAATATCAATTCACAGAATTGAAACGTATTTAATTTTGCGCGATTAATGTAATACGCATTATTTTGTAGGTACGCCTTATAATATATTGTTATTACGGTCAACAACACCACACGGCACACATTAAAGTAAAAATATCGATAAAATGTTGATAAATCAAAATAAAAGTTAAAATATTCAACATTCTATTGAATTGCAGGGGGGGGGCAAATGCTCCCTCTTGCCCTCCCCCCTCCGGGTGCCCATGTATATATATATATTACCCGTTTACCTATTCGTATCATAAAATAGTGGTATAAAAATTTTTAAAAAATCATTTATAATAATAAATCGTGAATCGTAATAGAAATATTTTGACGTCTAACGTCTGTTCACTTGAACGCGCGACCAAAAACAAAACAATTTGATTTTCAAACCGTGCGGCGAACGCGAACGAATTAATTCGTTAATTATTTAATCAACCCGCGTTTATCGCGTACGTTGGACAATCTAATCAATATTTATATGTTTGATAATTTTATTCGCCGCGTTCACATTGGACACAGCGATAGGCAATTTCTATTCTCATCGTCGCCACCCGAGGTCTATGCGTTAGTTGTAAATGATTATTAGTGTGTGTGCGGCGTCAATGCGGATACCACTTATTTCCGCACCATCGTCCTGGTAGACGTTCATTGCAGTGGCGTAGCCAGGATTTTTAATTGGGGGGGGGGGGGCTTACTACTTTTTCGGATAAGTAAGGTAAGAGAGGATATGAGAATTCAGCCTTAACCCCCCCTCCCCCTCACCATCTACCATCAAGTTTCTAAACGTAATTCAAGCATTTTAGTATAGTTTTAAAAATATTTATTAATATATAATTTATAATAATAATAATAATTTTGGTTTCAGTGTTCAGTCACTTGCTCCACTCTGACAGCTGCATCCTCTTAGGCGAATTTCCGGCAAATTCAGTTATTATTTCACTTTCATCGAATTGCTCTTTTTTATTTATATTAGCCATAGCTAACACATTCAGTCTGTTTTCCGACATGGTGCTTCTTAAAAAAATTTTTAAGCGATTAAGTGCTGAAAACGTTCTTTCCGGAGTGAAAGAGGTAACTGGTAACGTGGCGAACAATTGTAAACGTATTTTAATGTTAGGTCGAAGATTGGTGTGATGAGAGAGTGAATCAAGAGCAGAATTCGGTTTTGGAATAGTATTTTGACTCCATTGTTGCCTCCATATGAACAGGTTAGCTCTGATTGTAGATGAGGTGTCATCATGGAGATCTTGGACATATATTTTAGCAGTTTTTATAATATTTTTATCGTCATACATATTTAAATTGGCCGGAATAAGTCCTTCAAGTGGCATAACATCAATAAGCCTTTGATTAAAACGAGCATCCATTGATTCTATTAAATAGTCAAGATACATTATACATATAAACACGGCCCATGGGGGGGCTATAGCCCCCTTAGCCCCCCCCCCGGCTACGCCACTGGTTCATTGTAATCGTTATCGCGGTATACCACATTTGATGAATTGTAGTTATCGAATATTAGGTACCCACGTTTCGATGTACAACAGTAATTAATAATAAAAAAAAAAAAAAACTGCAAATAGTTTGCAGTGCAATGTAATTTGTACTATTGTTTCTATTATTTTGGTTCACGGTGGTCTCTTATTCCCTTCATGAAACCTTTGTATTTTTTTTCTTTTCGATAAAGGAATTTTAGTTTTCATTTCATATTTGGAATTCATTTTTCTAATCACAAAAACTAAATAGTCTTTACGGGAACAAACAGGGTTCGAAGTGGGCTGGAACGCAGTTCCGGTTCACGAAAAAATTTTTTTTAGCGTTCCGGTTCGTAAACAAAATAACGTTTATCGTTACGGTTCAAACAAATTTTTTAGCGTATCTACCATATTTTGGTGAAATTTAAACATTTTGCAGACTTGTTCATTGTAAGATATTTAATAAACGTCAAACGACCGCCATGCATAAGTACATTTATTGCTTATCTATACGATAATCGCCGTCCGCCAATGGTGTATTTTAGCTTTATTTACACCAGTGGTTCTAAAACTGTGGTACGCGTACCCCTCGGGGGTACTCGA